TCAAAAATAAATGTATGTATGATGAAGAGATAGTCAAAACTGGTCAAATACATCTCTTGCACTGTAAAGATATTCATTCTCATTCATTCCTTTTTCTATATTTGTTGCAATGAATGTTATTCATTGGTGTGTCTGTTTAGATTTTTCAAGGATTTACAAAAAATGTCTTTTGAGTTTGTTTGCTTGTGTGCCTGTTTGCATAAGTGTGTAAATGTGTGATTTTATTGTTTGTAAATTTGTATACTAGTGTTATTTTAGTATGAGATGATTATGTGTCACTGTTTTAATTGGCAACTTTATTTTCAGAGAGATTTCTTCACTAGAACATGGGGAGAGAGTTTTGTGGAAATAAAAGAGATCCCTCCTCATGTTGCGCTTCCACAAGTAACGGCCAAACATGTAGAATCTTATGTAAGAAGGCTTAGAAGGAGACAGAAATTACTGTCAAGACTAGCCTCAGTTCAGGCCAGTAAGGCGCAAGACAACTCACAACATTCATTCTTATCACCAAGCTCTAGAGGTTTGTGTTCTTGTCTCTTGGTTTCTCAGATTTACTGCTTTATCGAATATTTCTAGTTATCTCTTTTTTATTATTGTAATAGTTTTTGTAGGTATTAAGTGATGAAATACTATATTTGTTACTTTCTATATTTACACACTTATGTTGATTGATTACATTTTATAATTTAACAAGTTTTGATGAAACTTCCAGTTACAGACCAGTTGCCACAGGAAGGCATTCCTAACATCTTCCTCTCCAGTACATTTAATTTGGAGGACCCAGAGACCTTTTTCTCTGTTTTTACGCATGTATCTTCATCTGGTGTTTGCGTTAAGAATGCAAAGATTTTACAAGAAAAGGTATGTACATTGTAGATGATAAGCAAAGTCTGAAATGTATGGAAACATGAAACAGAAAAACTCATTCTTATTTTGTCAGCGGCCATTGAAAACACAAGCCTGATTTTACATTCTTTTTCTTATCTTTTGCAGCTCTTTCATTACTTAGAAACTGTTGAAATGGACATGAGCAGGCAGATAGCAAGAAAATCATCAGCCTTTTTTGACACTATGACATATCTTAATGCCCAAATGGAACAGCTGAAACTTAACCATGCAGCTGTATCTGCTCTCAGGTATTAAGCTACTTTGTATATTATTTATATGTTTTATTTTCCTGAAGAACTGTTTTTTATGTGACTTATTATACAAGTCTTTTTGGTGTGAAGAGATTTTGTAAATTGGGTGTCTTTGCTGCATGTTGATCTTTTGCTAAGCCTTAATTTTTTTTTTTTGTCACTGTTTTACAATCAAGACAAAAGAGAAAAAGAAAAACAAGGTACACAGCTATTTCAGGGACATTTTTAGGATAGGTGAGTATTAACCTGTTGGATCCAGGTGCATCATGGCTTGCATGTGGACCAAAATCCTGGCTTCAGGCTTACTCAAATGGTGACTCTCCTAGGTGTGTGGTTTGAAGGCCTCACCTACATGAACACTCATGGATGGTATCAAGACTCCTTGCCTCCTCTTTGCAATGCTGTTAGTTTAGCAGTTTTGTAATTTTTCATTTGTTTAGTAGACTCCATATTAGTTCTCCAGGTGGTTTACCCTTTGTGCAGTAACAGTAACATTATTTGTGGGATATATTGGTCTTTTTGTATTATTCAGTTTTCCATAACACTTCCTATCCAGGATTTGGTTCTTGCGTGTAGATATGGTATCCTCTGTGGTGCTGGTCTCTTCCTTGCATGGCTCACAGATACCCACATTTCCTATTGAAATTGATGCAAAAGCCCTATCCAAAAGGCCTGAAGAGTCAATCTCCCTTCAGAAGCCAAATGCCACTTGGCAACAATATCCCATGGTGAGATTCTCCTGTCACCCTGGCCCTTAGATGGTGTGACCATGATGAGGTATCCCAGTCAGCCAGACCTAACAAGTTAACCCATTTGTGAAGGGGAAAATGAACAAAAAATGGGTAAAATGCTGGGCTCATTTTTTATATTTTTTGTAAAATGTCTTTACACATAGATGGCTCTGCCTTACCTGATTTCACCTTTTCTTGAATTGGTGGGAAATGTATTTTTTACTAGTGCTATGAATATTGATGGTGTTATTTTTATTATAAACATTATAATTACCGTAATGTTATAAACAATAGTAATAGCAAGATAAGATAATGTAAAATATTTTCGTAAATTAAAGAAAAGGGTAAATGGGCGAAACAGGCAGTACTCGTAACTAGCTCATTGGTGATTTAGTACAAGTGTAGCCATCTATGTGTAAAAACACTTAAACTCACAGTGGGCATGTCATGGATACATGACAGCCTGTCACGAATGGGTTAAAAGATACTGGAAAAGGAGGATGGGAGCCTTAACTCATCAATGACAGGTATCTCACTAATGAAACTGCCAGTAATGGACAGTAGTGGGTGTTTCATATGAGACACCCACTCCTGAAGCTCCTGTTGAGTTGCCTGCAGTGACTCATGTGTGGGTCCCCAGCAGGCACTGATTGCTATAGCTACCACCTGTTTTTTTTTACTTGAAGGTACCCAATATAGATTGGTTGATTCATTAATCCAATGCAGGTGTATGGCATGTACGTACATGCCATACCCACTGTGAGTTTAGTTTATTAATTGTCTACACACTTAGATGGCTCATTGTTACGTAACCCATTGCCGCCGGGGAAAATTAAAAAAAAAGGGGGGAAATGCAGTACTCATTTTTTATATTTTTGTGAAATATCTCTGTCCATAGATGGATCTGCTAGTCCTGATTTCACCTTTCCTTGAATTGGCGGGAAAAACGTATTTTTACTAGTGCTATAAATATAGATGATGTTATTTTTAACAGCAAATTAGGATAACGTTAAATATTTTTGTAAATCGATGAAAAGGGTGAACGGGCGAGACAGGCAGTACTCGTAATTGGCTCATTGGATACTTAGTACAAGTGTAGCCATCTATGTGTAAAAACAATCGAACAAGTCGACTCACAGTGAGCATGGCATGTACGTACATGCCATCCCCGGCGGCAATGGGTTAAGGTACCAATGTATCAGTTATGAGTAAAACCTCTCACCTGTATACACTTTTGCTTGACTTTCAGAAATATCAGTAGAATTATGATAATTATAATGTCAGTAACATTATGATAATTATAATGTCAGTAACATTATGATAATTATAATGTCTATGATAATGATAAGAGCATTGATATTGATAGGATTAGTAAAAAAATCATATTTCCTGCAAACTCAAGGAAAGGTGAAATCAGGTGAGGTGGCAAAGTTTACTCTTTGGCTCGGCACTTGTAGAGCCATTTATATAGGTGCAGAGACATTTCACAAAATAATACTACAGTGAACTCAAACAGTTTAATATTGAGTTTAATTATTGGGTTAAAGAAGTATAACTTAGGTGGTAATGTTGTTTGTCATAGATTTCTTAGATTTTCTTAGTTTTTTTTTCTTTTGTTATGGCTATTAGACTTAACCTCTATCACTTAACAGAGAGATACAAGAACAGATTTGTTTATTGCTGTCACATAACTTATTTTCTTACAGGGATGGAATCTCCGTGTTGCGTCAAGAGGCTGTGCTGGAACCTGTCAAGATTTTGGCTCTACCCAGAAGAAGAAACAACATATCAGAAACCTGTAAAAAGGTCGGTTTTAATGTGTTAAGAAAGACTAATTATGATGATGTGTATTATCCTGACTGTATAGGGCAGCTGTTCTGTTTGTTTTCTTTAATTCAATTATATCCACTTACATTTCATCATGTATAGAAATGCCGAGTTATGAGAACTACTAAAGCCAATATATGTTATGTTTTTTTCCATTCCTTTTTTATTTTTTACCAATGTGCTTAATCTTTTACTCATTACCATCTTACAGCTTGAGGTCATGAGTGCTGTCCGTGAAGTCCAGTCAACCATACAGGTCATGTTAGCAAGACAAGAATTCACAGCTGCCCTCGACTTGATATCCACGACACAGGACCTCCTCCATACTGAACTGAACACTATAAGATGCCTCAAGTAATTTTTCTTTAATGGAGAACAAAGTTTTTTTTGTACATATATACCATGCCCACTATGAGTTTAGTTTATTAATTGTATGTATTCATTGATGGCTCCTTTAGTACTTAGTCACCAGGGAGTCAGTTCATACCTATCTCACTTGCTTACCCTTTTCCTTTAATTTTTGGAAATATTCTTTTTATCTTGTATTGTTATAATTAACCCAGTGCTGACGGGCATGGTATCTGCATACATGCCATGCCCTCTGTGAGTTTACTTGTTTAATTGTTTCTACACATAGATGGCTACACTTGTACTAACCAATGAGCCAATTATGAGTACTGCCTGTCTCACCTGTTGTCCTTGATTCACTAAAATATTTTCTGTTATCTTATTTTGCTCTTACTGATGTTTATAACATTATTGTAACTATAATGTTTATAATAAAAATAATACCATCAATATTCATAGCACTAGTAAAAAATACTTTCTCCTGCCAATTCAAGGAAAGGTGAAATTAGGTAAGGTCATAAGGTCTACCAATTGACTCCTTTGTGGCTAAGCACTAGCAGAGCCATCTACGTGCAAAGACATTTCACAAGAATATGAAAAATGAGCATAGCATTTTCCCCATTTTTTATTCAATTTCCCTGGTGGCATGTGGTTAATGTTAATAACATTTTGATAATTATAACTACCAATCTTACCTGGTTATCCTTTTTCTTGATTTTTTGGAAATGTTCTCTTTTATATTATTATTGCTAATATTGATAACATTGTAATGATTATATCTGCAATGATAATAGCAGTATCAATATTGATAACACAAAAAAGAAAAAAAAATCCTGAAAAGCAAAGAAACATGAAGTCAGATGAGGTCAGAAGTCTATTAATAGAAAATCTACAGCATTAGGTTAATTGCCAATTTTTATTTTGTTTGCAGACACCTAAGTTCGGAACTTTCAGA